CCTAGTCTATCTTAGTCTGGAAATTCAGCTGGGACCTCTTCACTATGGATGTACCCTGCTAGCCACCAGTCTGTCAGTAGAACAGCAAAGTTTATATTATATACTTAGGTGGATATTTAATTGCATGGGAAAGACTGAGTGTCCTCAGGTTTTTGTTTTGTAACTTGTTTATTATGAAGTGGGTTAAAGTTTACAGAGTAAGATCATCAGTCTTACATTCAACAATCCTCTCAATGAAATTACTTATTCCACTTCCAGTGATATTTTTTCGTCCCTCCTCCTTCCCTAACCCATCTGAACTTTGTCCTTGGGTAGAATGATGCCGTTTTGATCTCAGATGGTGGATTAGTCTAAGATGTACATACTTTGCTAGCATTGTAGAGTGCCAATGAGTTGGCTCTGATGCATGGTGACCATGTATAGTGTTTCCGAGACTTGGTGGATTTGAACTCTGACCTTGCAGTTAGTAGTCCAACACGTAACCCACTATGCAACCAGGGATCCTTACCTTATAAATGTTGTTGTTCCACTTACAGACTTATGTATTATTTGGGTGAAAATTGAACCAGGAGGTGAGTTCAGTTCCAAACCTGACGGGCTATAGTCTTAGGAGTTCCATCAGTCTTTATCCAACAAGTAAGTTTGTCTTTTTTATGATTTTGAGTTTTTTTCTATACTTTGTCCCACTCTATCCAGGACCTCTGAATGTGATCCCTTTCAGATCAGCTGGTAGTGGAAGCCAGGCCCCAAGTACTTTTCTGGTTTCAGGGCAGTTGAAACTGATGTTCACTTGGTCCATTAGTCCACTGGACTATTTCCAAGTGTTTTCAATTTTCTTCATTCTTCTTTCCTCCAGACATGGAAAGACCAGTAGTTGCACCTGAGATGGCTGCTCACAACCTTGTAAGATCCCTGTTGCTACTCTCCAAAGTAGGATGTAGAACACTGTCTTTGAGTATTAAGTAACACTAATTCACCACGTTGTTGTTGTTTTTATGTGCCGTGGAGTTGGTTCCAACTCATAGTGACCCTGTACAGGGTTTCCGAGGCTGTAAATCTTTACAGGAGCAGAAAGTCTCATCTTTCTCCCAAGGAACAACTGGTAGTTCACCATAGTGTCCCCAAAAGTATGCTCCTGAGCCCCTAAGATCATGCCCTCTGATTTTGTTTTGTAGGTCACTAAATTTTATTTTCCCTTTTGCCTGTGTCAATTACTGATTTCTTAAATTCCAGCTCTCCAAATTCATCCTTTTTCCTTGATCTATGAAAATGAATCTGGCCCCTTTAAATATGCTCCTCTTTGGTGTTTTGTCTATACACTAGCGCAGAGGTGAGGAACCTTTTTCTGCCAAAATTTATAACATTATTTGTGGGCCGTACAAATCTATCAACTTAAAAATTAACCTGCTATATTTGGTCAAACATTTAATTAACTCATGGGCTGCCAAAAGAACCAACAGATCTGTGTTGGAAGAAATGCAACCAGCGTGCTCCTTGGAGGCCAGGATGGCCAAACTTCATCTCTCATACTTCGGACATACTGTCAGAAGGGTCCAGTCACTGGAGAAAGGTGGAGGGTCAGAGAAAAAAAGGAAGATCCCCAGCGAGATGGATTGGCCAAGTGGCAGCATCAACGGGCACAAGTGTGGCAATGATAGTGAGGTTGGCCCAGGATCGGCAATGTTTCATTCTGCTGTGCATAAGGTCGCTATGCGTCAGTACCGATTCGATGGCACCTAACAACAACAACTGTGATGGCTGGAACTGCTGTTACCTTCGCAGGGCCAGACCAAATGATTCTGTAAGCCTTATATGGCCCAAGGGCCAGACATTCCCTACCCCTGCACTAGAGAGACATAACAGAAGAAAAGTTGCTTCTAGTTTCCACTGTGCTCCCTTAACAAGCCACTCAACAGTTCCTGAGCATCAGCTCCTCCAACACCTTGACATCTTCAGTGTCTGTCTCCTGAAGCAGAGTTGGCTTCACTAGCACTAGAGGCTCCTACAGCGCATAACCAGCAGTAACCAAGAGCTTCCCTCACTAATTCCCATTACACAGCAGTTTTGTAACAGAGATTCTCTACGAGACACCTTCCAGTAAACAGCTTATCTAATATCATAGAGAGCAAGCTTCCAACAAGTTCTAGAAGGCAGATGTCTGGTAAATTCCAAAAGGGAATTTTTAGCAGCTTGTGTAGTGCCACAATGACTTCTCTGCCATCAATTTCAACCTCACTCCCAGGAGTAGCAGCTATACCTTACATTTGTTTTTCTTGTACTTTTTATAGTTCTACTTCTTAGTTGCCTTATTTCTCATTATACTTATTCCCTGTTATAGATAATAATTTCTTATATAAATTTTCCCTGTTTAAATTACTGTGATTTTTCTCTTCAGACTAGACCCAAACTGACATGTCATTTCTTTTCCTTTACCCATCAACTGACAAAGGGTATTTCTTCCTTCCTTTTTTGTCTCTTTCCTTTCCCAGAAGCTATGTGTTTTGAATCCTTGTTTTATTTCCTTGTAGTTCACAATCTAATCTACTTGGGCAACTTGTTTTTAGTGTTTTCATGGTTAGGATGAGAGTTTAGTCTTTCTGGTGATAGTTTTAGAACAACCTTAAGTCCTATGAAACATTTCCATCTTCTCCATAGTTTTTCTTAGTCTGCTTTTACAAAGCCTTGTGGCAGTGGGGTAGGGCAGGAGCATGGGAGTTCTAGCACTAGCATTTGGTACTTTTTTTCTTCCTCTTTTCACTTACAGTTATTTTGAAGTTTGGGGGTCTTCAAGTTGTGCTGAGGACATGTTACTTGTATAGTTTTTCTTTTCTTTTCTTGTTGCTCTGTGTTGTTTTGAGAAAATGCTGAAAATGGGGACTGAAACTGCCTACATTATCTTCAGCTACCCTTAAATTCTACTGCAAGTTTGAGTATTTACTTCTAATCATGATCAAAGGAGAAGCACTAAAACAAGAATAAAAATTTCTAGATTGATTTCAGCTCGGTCACTAGTAATGACCTAAAGCTGGATAATTTACTTCAATACAAGAAATATTTCCTCACTTGTAAAATACAGGGGCTAGACTGGATCAGTAGATCCTATACCCAGGTATGTATCAGATATATCTGATGCATACAGACTTTTTGGCCCTACTCCTAAACATTCTGATTCAGTGGGCCTGAGGTAAGTCCCAGGAATGGATATCTTAAACAAATATCTGCAGTGATTTTCAGGCAGCTATGAGGTGTCACATTTAGGAACCTTTAGAGAAGATAATCAGTGAAATAATCTCCAGTAACGTGGAGTCCTGGTATGGCACTGAGGGTTAATGTGCTGGACTGCAAAGTTGGTTTGAATTGCAAGGCCAGTGGTTCAAGCTCTCCAGCTGCTCCTCGGAAACCTTATACAAGTTTCTCTGGGTCAGAACCAACTCAACAGTACCTAACAACAACAACAATAAATGTGAACCTATGCGATCTTTTCTGATTCAGGTTTTAGCTATCTAATCTTTTAGTACAAAACAAAAGCAATGTATTAATGTTAAAATATCCAAATTAGCTTATGTAGTATGAAAAATTTCCTTTTTTTTTTTAAACAAAATAATTCAAAGCAACCAAAGCAGGTAAAAATGGTCTGGAGGAGGGGCAGAGAGACATAACAATGAAACAAAACACAAAAGGAACTACATTTGGTGTATCTAGAAGAGGAAGAAGAAATATACTAAAACTGGTTTCAAATTTACTTTGAAAATTCAATTATTCTTAAGAGAACTACATTAAGATTTCCAAAGTTATAAATCTCTACAGGAGCAGCAGTTGTAAATCTTTCTCTCTTGAACTAGCTGACCTTGTGGTTAGCAGCCCGATGTGTATGGTCATATATAATTGTTCTTTTATCCGGGGTTCTGGATATTCTTTAGAGGTAAACGCACCACCTTGAAGGATTGAGTCACTGGACCTAATGACTCAGTACCAAAGTCTCGGGGTACATCAAGGTCAATTGGCACAAAATAGTCACAAAGAAAATGTTCTACAAACTACTTTGGTGAGTAGTGACTGGGGTCTTAAAAGCTTGTGAGCGGCCATCTAAAATGCAACTATTGGTCTCTCCTCTTCAGAGTAAATAAGAGTGAAGAACATCAAAGATACATGGAAACAACTAATTCTAAGGACTAATGGGCCACACAAACCTCTGAGATTCCATGATAGTTGAGACCAGAAGAACCAGATAGCTTCCATTACTAACTGCTCTGAAAAAGATCACACTAAAAGGTCCTGGATAGAATGGGAGAAAAATATGAAACAACACTGAAAATCCTAAGAAAGACCAGACTGACTGGTCAGACAGAGACTGATGGAGCCACACAGACTATGGCCCTTAGTTAACCTTCAGGTTTGCAACTGAAACCCCTTCTCCCCGCCCCCACAATTTTTAGCCAAACAATAGACATGTCTATAAGGTGAACAATAATACGACCACACTCTAGAAAATCAATGATGTGAGAACATAAGGGCAGCACTGCCCGAGGACAAAGTTCAGAAGACAAGAGGAGGAATGGAAATCGGAAACACAAGAGGAAGTGGGGTGCCGGATTTACATTGTGGGGATTGCAATCAGTGACATGACACAAAATGTGTATGAAATGTTGAATGGAAAACTGATTTGCTTTGTAAACTTTCAACCAATTCACAATAAAAAGTCAAATAAACAAGTAGGAGTAAATTAAGCAAATGCCCCTTCTGATTTTGAAGAAAACCTGGTATCTACAAGTCACACAAACTCTAAGCTTCCATTTCACAGTAAAATTATTACTTTCTAAGAAAAGAATTACTAAACAAAGGCATACTCAACAGCAATGCTAATTCAAGGAAATTTATAATATTTTCCCTATATCGTGACATTTGGTCATCTCAGGGAGGTTATATGAAATACGAAACATTTTTTTGCTACTGCAATATATCCAGAAAAGACACTGCTAAATGATGTGTTTTGGTCATACCCGATTGCAGCAGGCGTCAAGCGGGTGTGTAACTGAGGAGTTGTAGAAGTGGTAGTGGTTGTTAGAGAGCCATCAGTTCCTGTCTTCTCCCAGTCAAAAGGGTCACTCTCAATTACACCAAAGGTCTTGATGCTGTTGTCAAACACGGATGTAAGAAGCTAAATCATAAAATAATAATAAAAAAATGAGTCAATAGTCCTTTATTTTAAAAGGAAAAGCACTCTAGACTAACACAATGGTTTTGTAATATGATTTTAATAGCTGATAGTACAAATCTGTGAAATCTGAATAAAGACTATATGGGAATGATGATATTGAATTAATACTGATTTTTCTCAGCTGTGGTACTAGTGTTGAAAATTGTATAAAGAAATTTCTTCAATTTCTAGACTTTGGGTATACCTCATTTTGAATTCTGCAATATTCTTTTATTTGAAAATTTGCCCATACGTTTGATCTCTACCTTTCCCCTCACTTAATAGATAAGTGAACTGTCATAAATTTCTTTTGTGGCCATTGTTTTCCCATTTGGTAACTGGATTGGCTGGGTTGTTAAGTAGTAAATTAGGTTTTACCTAGCATGCAGTCAGTACAATGTTAAGGAAATACAAATCATCCACTCTTTTAATTGGGCCTCCTTTGGCTAATTGTGTGGTTGTCAAGTCTGTTCCATTCATAGTGGCTGGTAGGTTTGAATTGCCAACCTTGTGGCTAGCAGTCTAGTGCTTATCCTACAGTGCTACACCAGGACTCATTGGTTACAGTTAGAGATAACTTATCTTCTCCATCATTACCTTCTGATACCAGTTAATAGCTTCTACAAATATTTTCGTATTCAAATGGATTTAAAACAGCAGTTTTTTAGTTGTTCTGTCTGCACATATTTCTCCTCTAATTCATCCTAAACAGTTAAATAAATAATAAATCAAATATTGTTGTTGTTGTTAGGTGCCATCAAGTCGGTACCGACCCACAGCAACCCTATGTACAGCAGAACAAAACACTGCACAATCCTGGGCCAACCTCACCATTGTTGCCACACTTGAGACCACTGATGCTGCTACTTGGCCAATCCATCTCGATGGGGGTCTTACTCTTTTTCTCTAACCCTCCACCTTACCAAACAT